AACCTGGAGCTCAGACACTGACATTTCCAAGTACCTGAGTGTGAGGACCAGGTGCTTTTTTATGTGGGGTTCATATTTAAGATGTGGCTGCTGCAAAAGGCATTTGAAGAACAGAGGCAACAAAATTCCTGTCTGCAGCAGGTTAGCTGACATCCTGCTCACCTGCTGCCCAATTGGAGCTTCCACTCTGTCCTGCAGCCTGCCTTCTGCTGGACAAAACTTGACAATGCCACAAGTCTATGCTGATGCTGTTTTCTAGGGCCTTCCATGATTTGTGGTCATGCTTTGGGGTGCAAGTTACCTTGAGGAGATGTGAAGCTAAGAGAAAATGTGCAGGCCAGCTTTGCTTGTTTGGTTTGATGCTGAGGAATTGTGGTCTGTGGTTCCACAATAAATATGGCTTCACCCTCGTCTCATAGACTACGCAGGCAGAAGATAATAGGTAGATGGACTGTTGCCTGGTCCTTGACCTTGATTTTATGTATTCACAGGGAGGGGCCAACGGAGAGCAAGCACAACTCTCAACCCGTGCTGTGGGCACTGATGAGGGCCAGCAGCAGCCTTGCCACAGGGCAGACCTGCAGACCTGACAGGGAAAGGGCTCTGCTGGAGGTTCCCTAAATGTGGGTCACTCAAGATCCAACTTTGCTAGAGTGGTCTCCAGCAACTGACCTCTGACCTCTGGTATTCATATTTGCATTTAAAAGCCATTATGGAAATGTAATTTCCTATGAAAGCAGGTTATATTCAAAGTACACATTCCTCTCTGCAAAGTGACAGTGACCACAGCCAAGACAGGTCCTCCCAGGAGAGGTAGACACCAGACTGTGGAGGGTGGAGAGAGGTGAGGGAAGTCTTTGAAGTGTGGCAGCCTCACCTAATCAAACTTATTGCGAGAGATTTTGAAGTACTTCATTAAAGTGGCGTAGCAGCTTTCCATTTAGAGTTAACTTAGGTTGAGGGGGAATGAGGGACTGAATGAATAGCTGTAATTTCCAACTTCCTCATCTGAAAAGCAGAAATATGCTGACCAGATCTTCTGAATCCAAAGTGGATTCAACACTGGAGTGCATCCTGAAACACAAGGACATTTTATCACTGCCTAGAGAGGACCATGTCTCTACCTGGAAGTGTGGGAGGAGTGGGAGACACCTTGGAATTGAATGACTTTTGCTTCGTACCCCACACTGAATTTACAATTCCTGCTCAGTCTTACTGAGGCTGGAGGCACAACGTGGAAGGGAGAGCACAGTATGCAGATAAACTATCTTCTTCTTCACTCAAACTTCAGCCTGGAGGGAAAATAAATTAGGTGTGGTCAATTTTCTTCTAAACAGAGGAGTCAGTGACTTTGGCCTCTGAAAGTAATGTAACTGAGAGTTCCTGAAGCTGACTGGTGTTTTGGCCACAAATTCTAGCAAAAAAGACATTGTTCAACTAGCAGGGTGACTCACACTCTGGGTTAGGGGGAATCACATCTACTTTGTGTTCAGTCAGTCAATCCACTGAGACTGACATATGAGGGTTGGAGATCAGCCTGAGTCAGGCTTTCCAAGGGAGAAGGGCAGAAATCAGCCTCATACACCAGGGGGCCTTGGAGGTTCCCACCTCACTAAGCCTCAAGTCACTACTGCTCTGTGTAGTGGGTCAGGCCTTGGCTGTGGAACACAGTAAAATGGATATAGGTTGGAATCATCTAAATTAGGGTACTTGAAAGTGACTTTTGATTCACAATGGGAGGCTAGAGAGGGAAAAGGAGTTTCTGGGAACACTGTCCAAACACACAGCCTGACTTAGAGCCAGGATTCAATTTTAAGGATACTAAGTGGGGTTTCCCCTCCATGTTTTATTGTCGGGGCCAGGGAAGGAGAGAATATAATCTGAATCACACTATATTTTGCACTTTCAAAGGCCCAGAGGGGGAAGAGGGGAAAAGTAATGTCTGTGATAGAATGTTTTAAAATAAACTATGAACTTCCTAACCACCACATGCACTCTTCACTGGCTGGCACCAATAATGGAGCATTTGAGCTGTTCTGCTTCTGGTGGTTTGGAGTGGTGTGGCTCTCGGCTGCACGTCCTGAATTGGATACACCCAGCCATGAGTAAATCCCGTGGGGCAGTGATGGACTGGAAAAAAAAAAGTACAATCAAGGGCATGGGGAACTAAATACAAATATAGTTTTTTGTTTTTTTTTCCCCCAGATAATTTAAAAGTTCCATTTACCTGATATATGTATCAATAACCACAAAAATAAGGGGTTACTAAATGATAAGCACTAAATACATAACTAGAGATTTATGAGGCTGGAGAAGAAAAGAAAGTGTGAGGAGTCACATTATAGTGGCAAGCAACCAAAGCAGGTCACTGTGCAGTGAGAAGTCTGAGGGGAAGTGACATTCCCACGGCAGCTGCACCATCCACCTCCCAGGAGGACTCAAAGGCTCTGGAGCAGTGTGAAAAGCTTAAATACACAGAGAAACCTAGAGGAGGACATAAAGATGGCAGGGAAAGAGGGAAAGAAGCAGAGCTAGAGAGAAAACTTGGGGGAAGGAAGGAGCAGTGTGGGCATTATAAATGAACATTAACTCCAAATATCAGCCTTTCAGGAATCTTAACTCAAACTCCCATTTTTCAGTTCACTTGGTTTGAGTCATAGTAAGTTACTGTTATCCTTTCAATTGTTCAACTGCTCCTAACTTTTTCATGAGTATATTAACTATAGTCACTTAATTATACAATAGTCTCTTGAACTTAATCCCTCGAACTGAAATTTTGTTCTAATTCTTGAATCTTGAAAGGGTCAGCTCCTATGGCAAAGGCAATTATCTCTCAGGCTGAAAGACATTAAGCAAAGAACCACACGTTCCTGACTGTGAAGCCAGAGAACTGAGGACCTGTGGCTGCTTGTCTAGTTCTAAGTCAATACTGCCTGAAACTGTTGTAGAGGCTCCTCCAGTGGTGACCAGCAGGCCGTAGCATCTGGCTTTCAGCAGCTATATTTGGTATTAGTAAGGATCAGTTAGTAGCATCTGGCTTTCAGCACCTATATTTGGTATTAGTAAGGATCAGTTAGTAATTTTAAAGATCATTCCATGTTAGCAAGTTTTCTGTAGTCATTGGCTTCTCAGAGTTCTCTCTGACTTTGTGCTGGCTCAACCTAGCTGTCTTCTTTAAGTTCATCAGGTGTTTGTTGGAGGTGATTAACATCTGACCAGTTTCCAAGGTACTTTATTCTTGGCTTTATGAGCTAAACTATTATAGTTTAAAGTGTGTTCTACTTAACAGGAAAACTGATCGTAATTAACCCTCCAAGAGACCAAAATAAATCAGAACAGTCTTCCCAAGTTGTCCTAGTAATGATGACCTGGACAGAGCTGTGATGCCATCAACAGGAAAGTGTGCAAAGAATTAGAAAAAGGCATCATACATCCTTTGATATTTCCAGAGTGCCATCTTTCCCACTAGCTCCCATCATGTGTATCCAAATGATATACTGATAGCTGGTGCTGTTGAGAGACGGCTCACCCTATCTCATGGACTTAACCAGCTTTAAATGGCTGACTCCTTAATGCTGTTTTTTCTCTGCCAGAGACAAGATGGCAGTCTGGGACATGCCAAGGTTTTTGGCTCTAAATTGCAAAACAAAACAGGATAGGAGGGAATTTGTGAGTTAGCTGATTTGCAAACACTGCAGCAAGTCACTGTGTAAACATTTGTTTCTGTGTACCTATTATTTCTCTCAGGCAGTTACCTGGATGCCATCCTGACAGTGCCAAAATGCCCTACCCGCTTCTAGAATTACCAATGATTCTGTCAATCACACTTGAATGAACTCAGTTGATTCTGCATCATTAAAAAAGAAAACAAAAAAACTCAAACAAACCAAACCAACAGAAAAAAAACCCCAAAACCAAAAAAACCCAAAAGTCTTTCATTAAGCAGTAATTACAGAGTAGCTCAGTAATTATGGAAGGAGGGTCTCCAATGTCACTCAGAATCAACATCAGGCCTGCAGGTGTGTTCCCAAGTGTGTGTGAAGATGTCATTCAGATGATGCCAACCCAGGGACCTGGATGAACAGAGCCAGTAACATTTACGTGGCTTGTGTAAAACTGTCTCATCACAGGCACTTCCCAACTTTGTCTGAAAGAAAAGAAGTTGGGTGTGTGGATATTCTTTCCATGCCCCCAAATGCCAGTTAATGAATAGTTGCACAAACCTACAACACTCACTGAGTCCATAAACACTTCGATTTTTTCCCTTAAGTCTGAAACATAGGCTCTTCCATTAGCCCCTTTTTATAGTTAAGAAATGGAGGTGGAGGAGCATAGGTGGTTTGGTTAGGCCCCACAGCTGGTATGTAGAAGAGCCAGAATTTAAGCACGATGCACCTTTCTCCAGAGCATGTGCTCTTAATCATTTTGCTAAACTCTCTCTGTAACAAAATGAAGATGACGTAAACATTCTAGGTGATAAAACATTTAGGTGATATCATAGTACTGGCATTTCCTCCTCTTCTCATTTGCTTGAAGGACCTTCTCCATTTAGCTTTCAGTTCACTCAAACCCAGAGTTGAAGCACCAATCCTCATAGAAATGGAAAAGTTATAGTTAGGAACTTTCAATGAAATTGGAAAGAAGGAAAACTCTAAGGGTTGGCTTTTCTTTTTTAAGCATTCACAGTATCACAGAATCAAAAGGTCCTAACCAAGGTTATCTAATCTGTTTTTTGCCCCAGGCAGGGTAATTTAAGTATCCCAAAGAAAGGAAGGTTCAAGCAGTTTGTAAAGGTCTTACTGAATTCTACCTGCCTGAGAGGTAGGCTGTTAAGTATTACCTGCGTGTCTGGGGTTCTGTGATGAGGTCTGCCATTCTTAGAGGAAAGTTACCATGCAAATGCAAATTAGTAACAATATAAACCAACTTATTTCCCATAAGCATAACCATCTACTTCAGTCAAAGGAGAGGCCCCAAGCTACAATGCCAGTCTTTGTCAGAAAATATATTTATTATTGATAGCAAGTGAAGGTGTCAGTACATGATAGAGGTTGAATAAGCCAAGGTTGCCTTTATATTGATAAAAATGCCTTACTTCACTTGTAATCATAAACATTATTCCAGTAAAAGAGGCACACTTTCTCTCCTTTTTGTCTTCTTACTTGCATGATCATCATAAGTTAAAATGAAATAGCTTTTACATAATCAAAGAAGAGAAAACACCAACAAGCCACAGCCTAGATCATTCTACCCAGCAGATTGTCTCAACTCTGTGTTTTCTTGCTCTCTCCTCTCACCATTTCAATTAGTTTGGCCTCCCTGTTCCCTCCCAGCTTTGCAAGAGAAGAGATCCAACAGTGGCAGGATTTGGTGTGAGGAGAAACATTTTATGGTCAGTAGAAGTTAAATAGAAAGTACAAAAAGGTGAAGAGGTGCTCTCCTCTTTCATTCATCATAAATTGGGTTTATTAATACTTCACAGTGTCCTCTGATGACTGATCCCTGATCTAGGCTTTGGCTTTTTCAAACTGTTGGTGATCAAAACATGATATTATTTTGTTGAATCCATTTTCTGGTGCTTCTCTTTAATGGTCTTCTCTTTCATTGGGTTATTTTCTTATTAGGAAAAAAAAATGTTCCACCTCTGGAATTAATGTTGAGGGAGTTGTGCATGTTCTGAAAGTTGATTTTATCCTCCCTTCTCCAGCATGCTCTACAAAAGAAACAGAATGCATTACGTTTTACCACCAGAAGGAGAGGGCAGAAAAATGGTAGTAACTACTTAAGTGTGATGATAGAGCTTTTCAAATAGCTACGCCAAAAACATAAGACATAAAAACAAAGCATATGTTTTCCTAGGGAATGGTATATAGGAGGAATTCTTTTTTTTTTTTTTTGCAGTACTGGGGATTGATCCAGGGTCTCATGCTTGCTGCAAGCACTCTATCACTTGAGCTATGCCCCTAGCCAATAGAGAGGAAGACCTCTTAACTATCAAGTGTTTATTTCCTCCATTATCAAAGATCTTTAAGAAAAAAAGTGACCTTTTCCCTTTTAGTCTTGAAATTACCCAGAAGAGGGTAGGTGAGTCCTGATGCTGCCTCCAGCTCATTGCTGCGTGACTTCCTCCCTCTCTCCCTCATTCTCCCGCCATCCATGCAGTAAACTCTTAGGTAGCTCATTCTGGGTTCTCACTGCACTCAGCTGACTGCTACCAGGAAGCTAACACACATACCTGTGGCAAATTAAATAATGCAGGATAACAGCTTGCTAGTTTTTATTTGCTAAATATATGCTAAAGTTTATTTGATTAAAAAATACATATACAGTAAAAAATTGGGGAAAGAAGCTTTTTCTTTCTGCTTATTTTCCAGTTTCTGGTAGCTGCTTTCAGGGAAAGTAATAGTTGAAAAAAGGGTAGGCCCAGCTGAGCACAGAAGGCACATCTCTGTAGCTGGAGTGATGGGGGAGGTGTCTCAGATGATATTTACTATAGATAGAATATAGACAAAGAACTGGGGATGTGAATGCGAGGATGTGGAAGGATGTCCAGAGGACAAAAAGGGAGACAGACAGCCCCGTCAGAAGAAAGGGTTCATGCTCATGATTTACCAAGAGAGAGAGTTTACAAGGAGCGCAGAATGGACGCCAGGCTGAGATGCCCTGCTGACCACTGAGAAAAGGTGGAAATCAGATAAGTGCTTTTAAATGGGAGAATGACATAAAGGAAGGTTAACCCAACATCCTTGGCACAATGGACCCAAAAGAGGCTGGAAGAACAGGGAGAAGCAGATTAGAAACCATGCAAGGGTGGGAACAGGAAGTAGACAGAGTCCCATGGGAAGAAAAAGATAGGAGATGAGACTTAAGGTACAGGATAGGAAGAGTGTGTGGGAGGATCACCAAGAGAACAAGGTCAGTAGGAGGAACCAGTTTGTGAACAAGAAGAGAGACATAAATTTTAAGCTTGTGAGTTAGCTGATTTGGGTGAGACATTTCAGATGGAAATCTCTGGAAGGAAGTTACAGGCTTGGGGAGAGAGGTCAAAGGTCTCTAGAAATAAAGATTGAAGAGGGGACAGAGCAGAGAATTTAAGGACAGTGAGAGTATGCTGGTACACAGAAGGGTGGGAAGATTATCTGCAAAATGCCCATGATTATAGGTTTCCAAGTAGTCCATGTCCACAGGGTACCAAAGATTTAAAGGCGAGCAAAGTAGCTAGAGAAGAAAACATACAGAAGTGGAAGGAAAAGGTGATGATTCAAACAGGAAGTAAATTAGAAGAGCTCAATGTGTCTGCAAAGGAAATGAAGTAGAAGGCTCTGTTCAGCAGAGCTGTCCTGTAGAACACACCAAATGCAAGGCTTCTCTCAAACCCATCATCACAGAAGCTCTGTGTTTGCTGCCAAAATAAAACACTGAGCAACTACCATCCCAGAGTCAGATAGTGCCTAGCAATGTCACAATGTCATAGCATGTCATCTATGCTCACCTCCTTGTGACTTGATCTATGTTAAAGCCTCTCCAATTACACAGATGGGTGCTCTGTAAACTCCTGATATACATTCTCACCCTAACATTCTTTATTAAATATACAGTGGAAGCCAGTATAAAACAGATCTATACTGAACTCATCTAAGGGCAGGCAGTTACTGGACAAAGTGATTCTATTATGAGGGATGTCACTTGGCCATTCTGCATTTTGGATTACAGATTCACTATGTTCTTGAATATACCAATGGAAACTTTAAGCACCATGGTATGTGCCTGGTCAAATTACATGGCTGTGCTTCTCCCTACAATTTAGGTTTTATGGTTATATGGATAGCCATTTAACAATATGCCTCTTTTCAAATGCTGAAAAAAAAAGTCTGCAGCTAGCACACCATAAGTAAAACAATTTTTAAAAGGTTTTCCTGACAGCCTAGAGATTCTTTTAACTATTCTTTCCTTTGCAATGCCAACCAAATATTCAGATAAGCCATGCAACACTAACACTGTTTAGACTCTCCTGGCTGGCCTGGAGATTATCAGGCCAGTTTAATACAGACACTATTAGAATATATGTGAACAAATATGAAGTGTATAACCACTTTAACCACACTCACCACATACCCCACTACATGGATTTAAACCCCAATTCTTAAAGACAGTGCAATGGTTCTGTGGATTTGTGTGTGACTCCTAGAAGACACAAGGGACTACAGCAAAGCCACAGGACTGGTCTATAAACTTGCTGTTAAACTGCACTCAGTTGCCACCAAAGGAACAAAGGTGGTATAAAACCACTTCACTGCTGAAGTGAAGCTGAGTTTTTGAAAAGATGAATAAGTTGATAAAACATTCTGGGCTATGACTATATCACAGCTATGCAATAAAATGTGTTCCATCTCAGATCCAAGGGCCACAGCTGGAGGGACCCTTAGGCTTGGTAGGGTCTGTGTTCCTTCCACCTTATAGGTTTCTCCTACAATCTCTGTAGTGGTTCTGTAAGTAGGTGCTGTTGGACTGAATTTCAACACTGCATAAATATAACACTGAATAAATTAACATAGGAAATTCCCTGAAGAATGAGAGAGAAGCTTTGTAAGTTATAAAATACCATTTCCTTTGTTTAAGGAATTGCTAACACTTAATCTTGATGTGGAGAACACCTTTCTGGTGCACACCATTCACATACTAAGGCCACCAAGTATGAGAAACTTGCAAACAGCTGGGTGAATTACCAAAAAGACCAAATGGTTCAGGCATCCATACTGCTCTTTTCCCAAATTTTCTAATTCCAGCCACTGAGAAATCACCAGAAGCTCACACTGTCAAATAAGAACAGTGCTCCCAGGGACCTGAGATGGCATGTCATTTCCACTTACTACAACAATCTTAACTGCTTTCCTCAAATATTTTTGTTACACAGTAGTCTCATCAACTGATTTCTGAATCATAGCTATCTTGCAAGGCTTGATTAGCCTAACAGTGTGCCAGTTCTTGGCTGTCTCAATGAATTTAAGAGAAATTGCTGAGCCCTGGATTGCTCGGCAAATCATTACAAAGAGAATAGGTCTTTTATTTTATTTATTTATTTATTTATTTATTTTTGGTGGTATCAGGGTTTGAACTCAATGCTTCATACTTGCTAGGCAGGCGGTCTACCACTTGTGCCACTCTGCCAGCTCAGTTTTGCTTTTTAAGATACCACTCAGAGGCATTACATACCTGTAATCCCAACTACTTGGGAGGTGGAGATTGGAAGGATTGTGGTTTGAGTAGCTGAGTTTTCACTAAGGAGGGGGTAGGAAAAGTGGAGACTGGAAGAGAATAGAGCTGAGATAATGAAAGACAGAACGAGAAGACTGTGAGTTAGATAGGAAGGAAAAGTAATCTACAAATTCAATTTACTAGAAGCACAAAGCCAGTTTTGCCTGCGCACTGCTCCTAACTTCCTACAAATCTGATTAGCTAATTTAGGTTGTTTTCTAACTAATTGTTGATCCCCCTCACCCCCCAGGAGGCTGTGCTTTGTTCTTCCTGCTTTGGAGGAAACACAAGTTAACAACCTTGCTCTGCTTGGATCTTGTTTTATATCTTCTATGACAAATGCTCTGTGTACTATTCAAATTAAGTTTCAAGTAATTAACTGTTTATACAACTTGCTGCAATAATAGACAAAACACTAACATATTGCAGTTCTAACTCTTGAAGGATGAGCCCTGGAAAAGAAATACCTATTAAGGAAAATGAAAATCTATTACCATGGTAATATTTCTTCTATTAAACTCAGATTAAAACAAGAGAAAATGTCATAAAGCAAACTATTACTCTCAGCAAGTGGTTTAGAAAAGGATTCCTGTGATGGAAGAGACTGGGGTAACAAATTTAAAGTTTAGAATTTCGTCTGCTTTGATATAATTCAAAGGGCCATGCTACAGAAGGGTGGGAAATCTGTTAGGAAACACCCATGTGTCATCCTATGCATAGCAGTCCAGCTAGGAGATTAATAAATAGCAGTAGGTGATGATAAAGAAGGCTTAGAAAGCAAAAAAAAAAAAATGCTCCTGCAGGTCTTCTCACAAATTTGACCTTCTTGATTTTTCTTTGTGCTCTTTGAAGATGGGTGATGTACAAATCAGAGCCTCCCTCCCTCTCATGAGCAGCAGGGTGCCTGGGAACCACAGAGCTGAGGGCCAGAGTAGATCTGGTCACAACCCTGAGCTAGCCAGGACTACTAGCTCCTTGGGTCAGTGCTCTTCCCTAGCTCCCACCTGAAAGGAACCTGGAGTGGCTCCTCTCCCAGGACCACTTACAGTTTCAGTGCCAGCAAGAGGACAGGGAAGATGACTGGTTTTCAGGGGCTCCAGTCCTCTTTCTAATCCCTGGAGGCTAAGGATGCATTTTCAGGGTCCTTCCTAGGGTCAGCCTGATAAGACCTCTACCAGGTAGCTCGGACTGGTAGCTAGTGACAGCCTTATGTTCCCACAGAGGGAAAATACAGATCCCTCAGGCTCTCTGAGAGGCTGAAGACCTCAGTGTAGTACAGCCCAATGGGCTCTAGAGAAATACTTCTCAAACTGGTGTATAGTCTCCGGGGGTATCTGGGGCAAGTTCAGGTGCCCAGGCTGCGCTTCTCAACTTCTGAATCAGAATCTCCAGGGTTGGGGGGCCGGCTGGGCATGTGCATTTTAAATACGCTCTACAGGAGATGGTGATGGTCACTCA